TTAAAAATATTCTAAAGATGGAAAATACTATAATGGCAGCAACAAAAAGAAGAAACCGTCAATAAACCCCAATTATACTGCCAAATATTAGTGAAATAAAGAATACTATTGTTTCAATAGTCTCTGAGAGCTTTGGCGAAGCTCTCAGAGGCGTTGCGGATTGATCTTTTGTTCAATGGAATGCACAGCCTACTCCAAAGTATATGGAAGGATAAAGTGATACTGTCAATTATATTTACAAGAAGGGTAAAAATCGTGTACGATTTACCGTTTAGTATCTCTCTTGAGTCATGGATATAAAATATTTACATACGTACTGAACCAGCGACTACACTATGCAGAAAATCTAATAGGGGAGTATCAAGCAGGATTTGGAAAAGGAAAATTCACCATAGACCAACTATTCATGATTAAGCAAATACTGCATACTGCCTGAGAATATGACGTTGATGCGTCTTCCTGCCATTATTAAGAAGTATTTGTAACGTATATTAAGCGAGTTTAGAATACCAGTGAAGATTATAAGACTGACACGAAAACATTGAGAAATATACAAGGTTACATAAATACGCATAGAACAGCTTACAAAAACTTTCAATATTAACCAAGGACTAAAGCAAGAGGATGGATAACACTACCGGCACTGAAACATGATATTAGAAAAATAAAAGTAGGAAGATCGAATCTACTGATAAACAAATCACTACAGCTGGTGGTGTACCGGAACGACATTAAAACCTTAGACCAAACAAGAAGAGATGCAGAAGAAACCTACAGATAAACGAAGGACGTGGTATAGGAACGAAAATAATCATGTATCATCTAAGTCGGACAGAGTCGTGGGTGGTAACAAGCAGAATCGCATAGAGATGGTCTTGTAATTAGTATATCATGGAATGGAACTGGCTAGGTATGGTAGTCAGGTTGGGAAAATACGAAGAAATATAGTACTGGCCAACAAAGCTTACTATGCATTAGCCCATGTAATTAAATCTAACGATATACATAAGAACATAAAGATCCTCCAAAGCAATTATAAGGTCTGTAATGATTGTAGTAAACTGCATAACCATCTTCAAGAGGAAGATCCTGAGAAGGATTGTAAGCCAAATATATGAGAATAATATATGGACAACATGATATAACAAAGAACTCTACAGCTACTACAAGTAGACAATCCTCAAGCTCATCAATATCCAGAGATTGCAATGGGCAGCACTTGTAGTCAGTATAAAGGAGAGAAGAATGCCGAAGCGACTGTTTAATAGGAGAATGCAAGTAAGGAAACCTAGATAAAAGTTCAGAGCAAGATGGTCATGTACCGGTAATGGTCTGTGGAGCCATTGAAAAAGAAATATACTTTGAAATTTAATATGGAAATTTTGTGTGAACACAAGATCCTTTCCTAACTCAACCTCCCCCAAAATTCACTTAGCAGAAAGAAAAGAGTCTTATTTTGTAGGCAGTTACAAAAAAATGGCTTTGGTCCCTAACAACATTTATGTATACTTTATAGTTATTACATGTGGTCTAAACTATTCAAGCGATTCATATATGTTTCTGTCGCGTTATAAAGAAGTTTCTTTGCGTCAACTACTTGTATAAAATTTAATATAATACATCAATTATATTATATACCAAATTTTATTTATATTTATAAAAAAAAACACCATAAAAAATCGTCATAATTTAGCCTCGGTTTGCGGTATGTATGTTGTTCTGAAAAACTCATTAAAAGCACAAGTTTTTTTATAGATTTAAAAGTGAATGTATCTCAAGATTGAAAGCCAATCTAATAAAACTTTATGTTTTTAATTTTTAATACGTTCTTCTGCGAGTTCATGCCAGGAATTTTTGTATTACTATCACATTTAGCACAGATTTTAAAAATCATTATCGAGATGAAGCATTTTTCACTTTGACTTGGATTTATGTGCTTCACGTAAGATATATAAGTAATTTATCTTGTCCGGTTATTTTCGTAACAGATAATATGTTCTATAAATGAGTTATAGAACAGAATCGACTGAAAGTTTCTTTAAACGATTACGCGAGCAAACGCGGTTTAAAATTAGTTCCTGAAATCCGTGTGCAAGCCAGAAGCTTACTCAGATCTGCGAATAAATATTTACACGACAAAGATCGAATTGGGCTATATACATTATACATTTCAAATGTTCTTAATTTTATATTACTTTTACTATTCACAAGCTTTCAGAAAAATTTCAAGACTTCATTTAAATTCTGACTTGAACGATTTCAGGATCACGCATACCGGTTACACAACACGCTTTCGAAGAGCTCTTCAAGAATGTCTTTAAGAATGCTTTGTGACGGCGGATTATATTTTGCGAACCTGAATTTTCTCCACGAGTTACGTCCGTTTTTGGTAGACTTCCTTAAAAGAACTAGGTACTAAAGCTTAATAATTACGCAAGAATTTCACACCATCTGTACGTTCTGCGCGTTCCACTCAAAGAAGAATGTGAGCAAAATCTTATTAAAATATATAAATTTGGGTCAGTTTGGCGATGTGGAAACTAAGTAAGGAGCAGTACGTGGTAAAGTGCGGATAGTTATTTATAGAAGTTTTTACGATTGGGTTTAAATTTTTGACGTAAACCCGCTTCGTTCTAATTTCAAATTGACTTAGTTAAAATCTTAATACTATGATTCTTTTTTGAATTTGCGATTTAAAATAGTTACGGATGATATAAATTGGCTCAAGGTTGACTTATTTTTGTGGAAAATGTTTATTTCCATTTCAAAAATTAGAATTTGAGGAGTCATTTTGAATTAAATCAGAATTTATTAATAACGAAGAAAGAAAGGAAATTATATTTGATGGGTATTGAAGAAAACCACAAAGTGCATATTGCGCCAATCGCGATAATTACGGTTTCGGCTGCCATATGCCTTCTGAAACGACTGAACATTTTTTTTCGCGGCATTATGAACCGGTTCTTCACTTTCGAAAAGAGTTACGGGCCCAAATGAGAGTAAAAAAAATGTAGAGTTCGAAGTGGGTTACGGTTAGACTCCACGAGGTTAATCTCACAGGTGAATTATTAAAGTATTCGATTTACGAAAAAGGAAGTTTTAGTCGATCAATAAACGTTTATGTATAAATCTCATTAATTTGTTAATTTATAAGTAAAAGAAGATAAGATAGAGAATTGTATAATTTTGTGAGTAAAAGATAAAAGATAAAGATAAGGTGTGTTATAATCTTATATTATGGAATTTGAAATTGCGTGGCGCTTCGCTACTTTTTAAGCGATGTTTAAAAATATTAAAACAAATTGTTTACATTTTCAAGGAGGATTTTCTATAAATATCTATTGGCTAATTCTAGTAACTATTTTCCTTTCATTTCTAATAAATAAATATTTCGAGGAAATTTTTTTTAGCACTTACATGTAAAAGAGCGATCACAATCCTAGTTTTGCCACTTTGAACAGCAATAGTGCTAATAGTGGTGGTTTTGGACATGGCAACGGAGACGTCTTTGATGTCTCCCATTGTCCCATTTTCTTTTTGGGGCTGTTCCATCGCGGCGAAAATCACATGAACGTTTGAATAATTGTTTTTTGAATATCGCGCGCAATTTTCCTATACTTAAGTTGCTTATAACGCCGACTTGAACGTTTCGGAAGAGACCACGGAACACACTGAGATCGTAACAGCCCGCGGATTCCGTGCCTCCACTCTCTCGCGACTCAGTTGAGCCGCAACTCACACACACACCGTTGGATAAAAGATTTTTTGGGTGGAGACTACGCCAAAAAGAAATTATATAAAAATCGAATATGAAATAACCAAGAATTTGTATCATAAGTTTTTATGATTATCAAGAAAAACCAGCTCCTATTGTATTGATTATAACGCAAAAAGACTTTTATTGATTCAAAAAATCATACCTTGTTAATTTATGGGAATTAAGAAATGACCTTTGTATCAAATTAAAGTTTAAAATTGAATCTTTAAAGCTAAGTTATGTAATGAACTTATTGAAATCAATTATTAAAAGAAAACCTTATTTATTTTGAAGAATCATAAAAATGATTTCTCATATACTATGATATATAAAAAACACTAAAATTCATTATAATTTTTAAAACAAAGTAAGTGATAGGTTATTTTTAAAATTAAATTTGGTTTCGGCGCCCACTTCATCAACCCACACGCGTTAAAATGCGCGTAAATAATAAATCATTCTTGCAGAAATTCGATAAACACATGTAAATTTTTGCGAAGCCGTTGATTTTGCCAATAAAAATTTTAAATAACGCGGTCGAATTATTTAAAAATAGAAACGGTTTCGCCGACGTTCGACGGCTTTCGATCCTTGAATACTTAACAGATGGCAGCAAACTTCGCGAAATATAAACGAAGTTGCGAAATTTTCAAAAATATCTCGCGGTTTTCGTGTTTACTTTAAAGACGGACCGGAGGCGTAATGGTTTTTTGGGTTTTATAATTAGAACTTTAAGTGTATGTTGTATAATTTGGTTTTTTAAAGTAACAAGAAATAAGCGATTTGTTATTTTGCGAAATTAATTAAAAAAGATTTATTTAAAAAAAAAACAATCAACACAAAATAAGTACATTCATAATTTCGTTTGTTATAAAAATAGGTTTAGATTTTCATGCTTTTTTTTATTAAAAATGGAATTAAATGGCACTGCCTGGATTTATTGAAACTTAATGGATACTTATAGTTTCTCAGCACCGTATAAATATTGTACACATAAATAACTGTTAGTATAAAAAAAATCATGCAAAAATTATAAATTTAAAATAAACAACAAAAAATACACAATAATAAAAACAAAATATACATTAATCATTACAAATTGGCAGTTTTCTTATTGCTAATCACACAATTAATCTTAATAATAAAATATTTTTAGTTTTATTTCCAATTTCATTCAAAATAATCCTTTTAAAGCATGCTTAGTTACATTTCGATACTTTCTCCAAGCCTCATCTTCACCTACCTCCCTCAATCTTCTCTCTAAATCTTCATCAACCTTCCCATTTTCAGCAATCTGTCCAGCTTCATCTCCCCCAACATCGTCTTTTTTAGTAATCTCATTTTTCTTATCTCTCACCGTTTCCGATGTTAACACAAAAGATTGCACCCCCATGGAGTGAAGTTGTTGAACTTTATAATGAGTCGTTTCGGTGACTTCGCGAACAATTTTTCCCGGTGGGACTTCAGGGGATGGTTTTAAAACCGTTTTTGCTTGTGGTAAATCCGGCAAACCAACTGCGAGAACCATTTTTTCTTTAGAAATGTCTTCATGGACGTCATCTTTACCGTATTCCCACCACGGTGCGTATTGATGTTCGTTACATTCGGATGCGGTGTTGTAAGAGGATGAACGCGAATGTTGGAGGGTGCATTCTGATGCGGTTTGAAACTCTTCGTCGGATTTTAATTCTTCGGGTTTGAGATGTTTAGTTCCAAGATCCTTGAAAGAATAAATTTTTAAATAAATTTCTTTGGATAATAAATAAATTTATAATCTAAATTATTTTAAGCTGAAGCGTTTACTTACCTTAACTTTTTAACGTAAAAAAGGAAAAAATAAAACCACATTTATTTCGCAATCTACTGATTTCTATTTGCATCTAAAATTAAAATTCTCTTACCTCAGAAATCATGGGAGGTTTTTCAGAAGTGTATTTAGTACTTGTGATAATATTGATTGGGATGGTGTTAGTAATTGTTGTTGAGGTTGCTGCAGTTGTTAATATGGCACAATCTTGTTGAGCGTTTTTTAAGGTTTGATCGAGTTCTTCTGATAAATTAGTAACTTCGGTTAATTTTTCGGAAATGGCATCGATTGCGGTTGCATTGCTTCCAGTTTCCTCTTGATCCGTCGATTCGGAATCTTTATCAGTGTCTTTTACGCCAGTGTCAGACATTCTAAAACAAAAATTAAAAAAAAGGTAATAAAAATTGTTTAGTTTGTGTATTTTATTGGATCGTAAAAACACAAAGAAAAGGAGGCAAAAAAACTTGAATGAGACCAATAAAAACATACATTTGTTATTTTTGTATATCTTTTGCGCCAAATTATTTTGATTTTCTGCCATTTATCAAAAAGATTAATAATAGTGATATAACTTTTAGGGAAGATTAATGTATTCAACTTGTTTTTGCTTACAATTAAAATAAGTTAATTTTAAAATAAAGTAGCAGGAAAGGGAACGAAAGAAATAACACCGGCGTTCGAGAAAATAAATATTGAGTTAATTTTACCAGATAAGATCTGTTCTTTACAGTTGGATGACTAAAATCACCAGACCAAGAATTCCCTTTATTTTTACCCCTTTTAATAATTTACAAGTATTAATTAAAAATTGGATGGTTTTCGTAAAAATTAAAAGTGGTTGTATTAAAACTTAATATTCCAATCGAAATTTAATTGATAATTTAAACATCTCTTACCCGTTATAAAGTTTTGGTGTTTAAAAGGAGCCCGTTGGAACGCCACTGACGTGATTTTTCCCCTTCTACTTGAACCGAATTCAAAATTAAACTCGGGAAACACGAAAGCCACACCGAGTCGACTTAGACTCGAACGTTTAAAATGTACTGATATTTATAATATTCGAAATGAAATATTAATTTTTTTTCTTCTACAGGATGTGGCAAGTATACAAGTTTTTCGAATGATAATTGTTCGCACCGTCATAAAGAAGCGTTTCAAGTTACCATTTAAGGTATGAATCATTTATCAATTCCCATAAATTGAGAAAGAATTTTTTATTTTTTATGTTTCTCATTAATTTTAAATATTGCTATTATCAAAGCAAATCAAGTATTAGAAATCATTTATGACACGATATTGTTTTTTATTCTTTGAAAAAAAAATTGCCCTCAACATTTTCAAACTGATCTATGGAAAAGATTCCACTTTAATGCCTTAAAAGATTTCCTTAGATATAAGATATAATAACATTATAGTATTATTGAGTTCTTATAATATGTACTACGTTTTGGCCATTTCGCCTATCCTTACATAATTTTTGGGTTGGTGCCTCCAAGTTAATTATTGAGTTAAGAAGATGTTTGAATATCTTATGTGTCTGTTGCATTCCTCTATATTTTCTGATTATTAATAAAAATAAGGAAAACACCTAGATAGCACATGAAAGCAAATATCCTGCCTAGAAGAAAGATCATTTTTTCAGAAACTTATTAATACAGGGTAATTCAAATTCGAGCCCCACCATTGGGATTTCAGAAACCATAAGAGATACAGAAATGGTTAAATGGGTAGGGGAAATATTTTTCAACAAAGTTTTTTGATCTAGCCGTTTTAGTTTTTAAAAAATGGCCGAAAAACAAAAAAGTGACTTTTTCGTTTTTTGCCTATAACTCCTTTATTTTTCGTTTTTTCATGAATCTGAAAAAAGATTCTTAAGGCAACTTTTTATGAAAAATGTCATGATACAACTAGAAATTTTCTTTGACGTTTGGTTTTCGTGAAATTATCATCAGGTTACCACGTAATGCCGTTTGGATTGAAGATCGATCCGCTAATAATCATAATACCAATATTATATTTAGCGCGAATTGAAAAGAACATCCTGTGCACTTAAGATAGCTATAATGCAATTGCTCAGGCAGCTACTCTCGTCCGGAAATTGTATATTCGGTGCAGTATATTGACTCCTATGATAATAAAATTGAGTTTTAAATTGAAATACCCAACTGAAACACTCAATTACACCGCCTGAACCTAGGCCTGCTTGTTGTAACTGTACATTGATGTACTTAAAAATGTTTCCTTTCCTTGTTCACAATTTTCAGCTCTACTAATTGATGGTTTATCTTGCGACTGATTAACAAAAAAAAATCTATAACAATATACTAGCCTCGTGTGTCTGATCGAAATTACACGAATTGACTGACCAAATACAAGCGAGTCAATAAGAAATTTTACATTCCCACTTACAAGTGATTCCGAAGCATAAGAGAGTCGTTCATCCTTAGATTGAAAAGATATTCCAACTTTATTTTAAGACGAGAACAAAAATATTACTGCAAGAAAAAGCTCCATAGCAACCCCTAAATTTTATATCACAATAGAACAGAGAAATCGTTTCATAGTAGGTTACACAGATACATTCACTAGCAGAATATGAGCTATACCAATAGCGTATAGCGAATATCAGGTTTTGTCATGGCTTGCCTATCTCTGTGCTGTGTTTAGCAATTATTATCCCCAATTTGTATACATCGAATTTCCGAATCATACTACTATTGCCTATACCAGCTATACAAAACTACATTGCACCAGAAATCAGTTGAATTTTGTAGTTTCAAGACGCAACAACATCATACTACATGGATCTGCTAGAGCTAAACGTTGTGCCACTTATCTTTACAATTCATTTATAATATATAATAATTAATTATTACACAATAACTACTATAATAATAGTAATAGCTAATAACAAAATAGCTAATTATAATAATAACTATTATATAATAATTACTACATTTCTGACCAGGTCATCAAAGCTGACTCCGTGATGTTTGGGAGAAAATGCTTTTTCTGTACCAGGCAATAATAAAATGGAACTATAACCATTAAAACTATTATTAACAAATCAAAAACACCAGGTTTCTTTACAGGAATATACAACTTTCCTGTTTTCCTATAAACTATCTTTATAAGAAAGCGTAGATTGCAGCCACACTTTTTAATGGATGATTTTTGTATCAAATGTTAAAAATTACTTAAGTAAAAGCGACTTGCCTTTAAAAGCTCTTCTTTTTATAGATATTTCTATTTTTAGCAAAGAACACAATTTCTTTATAGCAGCCATTAGATCAAGGGAGAATTTCGATATTTATATCTCAAAATAAAACATCACGACTTTTTTACACGCTACTTGAAAAAAGTCTGTCTTAAATTGTGTTAACATGTAGGACTGTCATGTATCTAAATTAACCAATTAACGCTGAAGGTATATCGGTGACAACAGTGTATTTTATGTCTTATTTATGTGACAGAAAAATAGGCTATTATTCGGCTATTATTCGGAATTCTCGCAGGTTTTTTATGTGTTTATATAACTCTCGCCATTTCTTAGATTTGTAGATTTATGAATACGAATTAATCGTTATAATGGAAACCTATACACAAATAGTTATACAACTCTTTTTGAGACACATACATTATGAATCTTTTCCAAGACTTAATTTGCCACCAAAACAGTTGATCTCGTATTTATATTATATACATTACATATATAAATGTTTTTTTTAGTTCTTACTTACCCATCATGAAAATATAACAACTCTCTTAATCGACTTCTTAGTAATCGTCCCAAACGCACCATCCTCCCAACTTCCACCATAAGTTTTTCTCTGACACCAAAATATTGTCTAACTTTACTTCTTCGTATAGAAATCTCCATAAGAGGAATAGTAGCGACAGCTTCTCTTAAATCTCGTAATTGATTGCAATGCTCATCAATTGATCTATGAAAAACAGCGGAAACTCTTAATCTGGTCATTTGTTCTTGACTCACTTTAAGTAATCTTTGCCATGAAAACTTTAATCTTTGTTGTAAGTCATTGTGATCATCCATTGGAAGTTTGCAAGATTGTCGCAATGAAAATGATGCGTTGAGAAGTTGTACACCGTAATTATAAGTATCCTTAGCGGTGTCTTGAAAACTTTGATGCTCGTCTTTTTGAGATTGAATTTCATAAACTGTTATCCCAACGTGGCCGTGATCTTTTAAAAGAACATAAAATAAATCATCAAGCCATTGTATGGCTTGAGCTGCATCTTTTTCATATTCATAGATATGAGTAACTTGTTCTAAAGTTAATTTTTGTAAATCAACGCTATCACTAAAAATATTTTTTCTTGCTATTGTAGCGTCTAAAATGTCTCTTACATTAATAATATCTTCGCTATAATCAACAGTTAATTCTCTACCCAACGCATCTTTAACCGGCATTGATAACATATCGGATAATTTTTCACCTTCTTTAATTAACTCTCTTTCAACATTATCTAATAAAGCCTGATTTTCTTGTAATTGTTTTAACTGAAATCCAGCAGCCGAAAAGTCACCAATTTTGTTACCCATCACTAAAGAATCGAATACTTCACCAGTTTGATCGAAATATTCAGAGACTAGACGAAAAAATCTTAAAGATGTAATTAAAACATTTCTCCTTCGTTCTAATCGAGTAGCAAAACTTCTACACACGAAATCCATAAAATCTTTTTGTGAAATTAAATCCTTTTGTTGTAACGTTAACGTTTCGTCTTTTGCAAAACTCTCAACTTTATGTAGAAGCTCCGCATAAGCACCATAAGTGTCCCAACACTGTAGTTCGATGGCCTCGTGCTCTCTCCTAAGTTCTTCGGCGGAGGCCACGTCGTAACCCACTTTTTGTTTTGAGTTGAGTAAATTTTCAGCTGGGCCCAAAATCCAATTCACCACTCGTACAATTCCATCTTCCAAAACACTCAAATCTTTGGTATTTATAAAATTTTTTTCCATCGCTTTCCAAGCCGTCTCAATGTCCGATTGTTTATTTCTCAATTCGAGATTTAAAATTTCTAATTGTTCAATTGTGTCGAGAATATCTTGAGGTGTTAACATCGATTCAGATTCGGATATAAATTTTCGATTACGATTGTCTAATTCGATTTTTTCTAATAGAAGTCTTCCTCTTTCTAATGTATCGTAACTCATTATTTTCATTGTGTCAATGAGATCGGTTGAATTGTTGAGTGTTGATTCAACTTCGCTTGGTCTCATTAATTGTCCTTTTAGGAGATGTTGATGTAGGTCGCTTAAATTTTTGAGTACTGATGATGAGTCGGTTAGGTATTCGTCAACACTCTATAATAAAGATGAATTTTAAATTAATTTCTTTTGAGTTTCATAGTTTTGATTTAAAAATATTTCTTAATTTCTATAAATAAACTACCTATTTCTTAAATAAAAGTTTCTCTTAATTAATACTGAAAATTCGGAATAAAAACTGGTCTCGGTAGAGCGAACAGTTTTGACCGTTACACTCGGACCCAAAAGTTCCAACCGTCTTTTAACAACTGTTCTTAACCGCCTGAAACAAGGATGGGTCAAATTTAACCACACCTGTTTTAATTTTCCCTCAAGGCTATTTCTCATCGTTTATTTTTTGCTATAAATGTGCAAAATTTTGATGAGAAATCATCTTTAATTCGTATCACGTAGAAACAGTTAGGATTGAGTAACAAACTATAACCTCAGAGGCCACCATACCTTTCTTCTTATATATACGGTGATAAAACCAGGACCGGTTTCGCTTGTTATCGCATGAGAATCATTTATGAAGCAAGTTGTAAATTGTAAAAAATTGGCTTCAGGAAAATTCTTCCGCAAATCAAAATCAATATAATTTAAAAAAATTACCGTTCTATTTTCCAACCATAACTCATGGTTGTAGATGAATGAACCATTCAAATCGATCGGCAGTTGACATTGGTCCACAAGTTTATTTAGGCGTGAACGTGGCATGAACAACACCTAAAATAGATAAAAAAAATCGAAATGTTTATTAACCCGATCGAACTGGGCGAAGAGAAAGTCGATGTAATTTGCATAATAACCGTAGCCCCAAGGGAACCGTTTCAGAAAGAAAGGAGAAGAAAATAATTATCAAGAACTTTCTAAGGTTCCTCACCTGTCCATCTTTAGGAGTATTGGTGCAATTTTCTACTCTTTGCTTGTCTAGAAAGTTCTCAGGTCTGATCACTATAAAATGAGCGAGAACGTCGTTGTTTACCGTTGTCGAAATTTGTCGGATACAAGATCTTGCTATTTTCCATGGTCCTTTTCTTGCGTCCAAAATAATCGTGAGCCCTTGAAATTTGGTTTCGTCGCTAAAATTACAATAAAATTATTGCATAAAAACAAATCGATCTAAATAGTTGCACGAACACTCCCGTAGCATGCCGGTGAACTTGAACAATGCGCTTACGTTATCTGATTGAATGTATTTTTCATTTAAACACGTTCTTACGTAATCTTTTTTTAAAATGCTCATAATCACGTACAATTTAAATCCCAATCACTACTAGTTATATAACACAAACAATAAAAGTAACAATTGGGCATAAAAATTACTTTTACTTAAAATGTTTTGAAAACTATTAAAATCAAACATTATGATTTATTAATTATTTTAAACCGCAACTTAAAAACGAAAGGAAAAAAATATGAAAACTCAACAAAAACCAAAAGCAATCACATTCGTCCGGCAAAAACAATTACCAGTCCCGGTCTCATTTAACGCAATGTTAAACGTCACGTTTATCTTGAGCACTTACGAACAGCATTTCTAGCCAATAAATTACCGTAAAAAATGCGACAACGTTTATACCTGTAGAAAGTAAGCACGTACTGAAGACAGGTGGTAATCTCGAGAGGTGGAGATTCGGAAGGTATTGTTATCAAAATTATCGGCCTTCCGTCTTTATCTCTTCCACCCGGTACGCATACGATCCTATTCTGCAACAAACGTATTTCCGGTCTACTTTCCATTAGTCCTCTTCCTACCAAAAGAAAAAAAAATAATTACAAAAATAATCATATGTGAGAAGATTCAAATGAGGTAAAGGTCTTTTTATAATGACTTTATTTAATGCGATGTGGTTACTTAAGACGATATGTGCAATTCATGACATTCACGATTTGGCCCACATAGCCGCATCAATAAAGTTACCATGATAATAAGAGTTTTTAAAAAACAACAAGAATGACTATTTTATAAGAATTAAGGCCATTGCTTTCAAATAATCAATAAAACTTTTATTCACAATTGCTGTTGAAGAATTTAAAGGTGCGACAGTACAACTTCTTAAGACTTGTGTGGGTGCGTTGCTCTCGAATCACACCGTGTAAGAGATGCTGAAAAAAATTATTTTATGCTTCCTGCGTAAGCTTAGATCTTGAGGACCTCTCGACGAAACCGTTAAAGGATTTATCACAGATATCCTCTCGGCATAAATTGAGTGATCATATCCTCGTTTTTGTGTTAATCCCGCACAAGGGAAACCACTTTTCATTCCTTCGCAAACGACAGCCGGTAATTTATGTAAATTAAGTAAACTGTTACATATCCGTATAAGACACAAGTTCTTCGATTCATGAGAAAAGATCATAGATTATGAAACGATAAGAATGTTCTTACTAGAATTTATAGATGAAAATGTGGGATGTTAATGATTCTTTTTTTCTCAGGGTCACCTGTGGACCACGCGTGGCACCATCTCGAGCTTCTTCAGCACCGAATTTATTAAAACACTTTTAGATCGAACAGGTTTAAAGTCGAATCCGACTCGACCTACTCGAGGTCTGAAGCACGACTGAGTTACCGGAGTTACCGGAGTCCGGAGTTGACTGAGAGGGAACCGAAGTCGACAGTTTAACCACTTACCTTACCTACGCTTCGAACCCTCCAACCGACAAACAGAACGCCTAACAGAAAACGTACAGAAAGGCCGTAACTGTATCTATATACACTTTTGGGTGAACTATCTCGACGCAGACATTTTTAAACAGTAGCAACCGAATACGATTTTTATCTCATCAAGATAAACTTATTAATATAAACAGGGTACAGGTGTCCTTTAAAATGAAAGAACCACATTGTTGTTTGCCGCATTGATTATAAAGTGAAAGATAATAAACAAGATTACGCAATATTTTTTCTTTATTGTAGCGTTACGTTACCTTTTAAATGTAAATAGTGTCTCTGTTTGTACATTAAAAACAGTTATTTGAATACATTTTTTTTATTAAAGAAATAAAGAATAAAAAAATAACTAAGTAATTACCTATGCAGTGTTTAACTTTTTACATACGTTATGGGAAAGTTAAACATTTATTACTCATTAGTTCTTTGTGTGCCGTTAGGTTCTAATAACTTGACCGCAAACACTTTTTAAGTTAAAGATGTGATTTATAATAATAGAAAGATTAACTTTTTGCTAATTTAGAGAACGTTGTTTTGTGAACAGTTTTCATTAAAAATGGAAACCTTTTAGTTCATTAAAGAATTACTAGAATTAATTTTGGGCAAAATCTGTTAATAATATAGTTTTAATTGAGTTAATAGAACGTAAAATTATGGATAGTGATTAATGGTTATGACCTGGTTATCAGTAAATCTGCTTTAGAGATTAAGCGAATTATTAAGTATATTGCAATGAGATTGTAGATAAACATAGTGAGTCTCCTGAATATCTTCTAATTAAGATCCAATTACTTTACTATCTACTGTAAAAGGAACTTCGTCGTATGAACCGTACTGTGATGGAGTTACAAAAAAAAAATATCGTCAATATTGCATTAAAAGAAAAAACGAAAACATAAAAATAACTTTATTATTAAGAACTGAAATATCGAGAATAATGAACCTTCAGAAAATAGTAAAACATTGACTACTAAGGTAACTGACACTTTTTCTTTATAAAACTAAGTAAACTAAAGGAAACCACTCTTCTAATACAAATAATTTTGAAAAATCGCGCGAAGTTACCCAGCCGTCATCTGATTTGGAGTTTGATTAAACTTCTTTACAATATATGAAGAACATATCACTGCTCTATTGTCCTTCCAAACTTAAAATATTTCTGAATAACGGGTCCATTAAAATTCATGGCTCTTGCAAGCGATGTTGGCTCAGGAGTGCGTAGTTCGATGTTTGGATTAGAAACACCTATAAAACCAAGGCTTATCGTCTTTTTTCTTGTTCTAAAAAAAATGTATTACGCTAGCTCTTCTTCTTGTTCTGGAGAGAATGAAACTCTTTGCGGTTAAGCTCTCCTTTCGTTATTTTTTTAACTCTACCTTCAAGAGTTGTACGAAAAAACTTTAAACAGCCTTTAGGTACCTCATTTTACCCTCTAATACATCATCTGCAGTTTGGTGCACATTTTGAGTTATATCAATATAAAAAGAGTTGGGTAATACGGGATAGTATCCTGTTTTAGACAATCAAATGGTATCCTGTATTACCCAATTGTGCATTTCAAAATAAATTACTTTTTTGGTTCATACAATGATGAGATTTTTAATTAAGGATCAAAAAGTAGACATAGAAGTAACATCTGAACTATGAGCTACACTCATCATTACTTGCTCTCCAGTCAGAAATATTTACTATGCTAAACAAAATAGTACAACCTCACTTTTTTCGTTGCACGTGTTTTCTCTCACAGACTTGAGTAACTTCACTAACAAAAGATCGTATGATTCTAGTTTGACGATCAGCAGGTTGATGGCCGTTCTAACCAATTCTCCCCTACGCATTTTCGAGTTAAGCAACTATTTTCCCTTATTTTCAAAAAATCGTAATAAATTGGAATTTCAATAAATCATTATGAAATTGTCAGCATTTGTATTACGAATTGTAAGCTTTCCAGTGAAAGAAACGAATTTTAAAAATACATCTTAGCTTCTGAGATATTAATTTTAAACATCATAAACATTTATTCACGTTTTTTTTCATTCATTTTTTTTCACGTAAACCAACTAATTCCACTCAATTTCAAAAAATCATAATAAATAGACATTTCAATAAATCATTATAAAATTATCAGAATTTGTAATACGAATTCTATTTTATTTCTGGAGATATTCATTTTTAAACATAACAAGACATTTTTTCATTTTTAGAATATACTCTGAAATCTAGGAAACTTCTTAAAAAGGTTTCTAATTCCCTTGAAATTGAAACAACTTTTTGGTTGGCTTTGACAATTCTTGGAGAGTATTGTTAAATCATTAAATATGTTTGGAAACCTCAAAACATATTCAAATATTTAGAAATCCGATAGATTTTCTCGATAGAAGCGACACAACGAGATCCATAGAAATTAGGAAAGCACGGTAAGAAAAGTTAGCGGTAAAAAGTTCATTTGAAGAAAGAACAAACTTTATTGTTTGTACCTGCAATTGTAGATTAGTCATTGCATATTGAAAAGAATCAGTTTTTACTACTCGAAACTTTTTACAGTTCTTGGATACGGTCTACGGTCTCAAAAACTACTGCACCAATTTATAACAAATCCTATTATATTATCATCTTATTTAGCTACAATTTGCGGGAACAGTTTTCAGAATTAAATTTGGAAATAAGGTTGTGTCCAATATTGAACATTATTGAAGTTGCCTAAGTTGGACTGTTAATGGTTACCTACCTAGGCACAGAATTACATCGTAGGTTTGTAGCCATCCTCATGTGATATTCAAGTTCCGCATGAATCAAAAATCTTGTGATATTCTCTTATATAGTTTTCATCAAAAATGGTCACTGTTTTCAACTATCTTTGTTAAAGCTTCATTTTATAGCTCTAGGTCTTTGTGTGCTGAGATTTTATAATTACATAAACACGAATACTATTCATATGCCCCAAATAACGGTATTATGTGTTCTAATGTCCATTGTGTAGACAGTTTATTTGTTCATTGGTTAGTGAAAACTATAACTAAAGTAATAACCTTTATAGTTTTCCTTACATCAAGAAAAATAAATGAAAGAAGTGAGGGGACTAAAAAACATGTACCATGTACAGTCAAAAAACAAAAATGTGGGTTGAATCACACTAAGGCTGGTTTGCTTGTCGCAATTGTGCAAACGTGAAGATAAATATTCAGTGATTAAGTGCGTGCATCATCTAAACACCTAACATAGTTGTCAGTAATTGTCTTCAGTTGCTGATTTGATCTTGATCCCTTTAGCTACCAGCTTTGCTTTGGTGTAGTTTTGTTTATCATTCATCACATGGGTGGTGTGGTTCTATTCAGATTCAACCACAATTGATACCATAACAATACTAAAATGTACCGAAAATATTGCGGTACATACGAACTGTTTGATCTACAATTAATCAAATGAAACAGAGTGGCCAAAATATTGCAGCGTATTGGTCATACATAGGGTGGAGAATGTATGATGTAGCCTGCTTAAATCGAAGTAGTTTGAGGCAGAAACTCCATAATTGACACCATACGAACCCAAAAGTGGCCACCAGATTGCAACACACCAACCATAATTACTAACGCTAAATATATAGTGCAGAATCTATAACTGTTCCATTAATATTAAGAGTTTCTAGATTTTTTTTGTTTCATTTTTCTTGTCCTGGTAAAGTATATGATTTTCAGTATGCTACTTGTCTTTTCTTGCAATCTGTAATGTTGAGAATTGTCCAAGCTCTTGTATCATAGCTATTTTGTATTATGTTAACCTGATGGCATCAAAAAGCAGTTGGAGCCTTATTATGAAGGAAATTGGTATACCGGCTAATTTCGTATCCTTAGATTCTTCATCATAGTATATTTGACGAATATGGGGAGCTTTTAAGGATATCGAATAAAAAGTCGTCTGTGGGAAGTTGGTAGAGATTTCGTTTAATTTTTGTCGTGACTGTACTCGCCATCCCGTTCAACGATCATTCATCATTCAACGCTTTCTGGCACCATTGAAATCAAAGACGAAATGTTACTGGACTCTTCAACCCTGATCGTCTCATTCTACTCCACTTCTTCATCCTCGTTGATACAGTCATGTCTTAGAAGTGTTTGACGGCCAATGACATATTTTACAAATTTGTCGCAATCTGTTTTTACCCGTAATCATAATCGCTATTCAAAAAAATACCGATCTCAATATAAATTGTTAAAACCCGATTATCGTATTACTCATAGCATTGTTACTCGTATAATGGAAGTAGCGGGAATTGCGATAACACCTTAATTGAAATTTAGTAATTCCATAAATACTGTTTAATATCTTGAAACGAAATATTCAATAAATAAATATTTGCTAATCTGTTCCTTGTTAATAGATTTTTTCACTCGTTTTTCACCAGATATATCTGTAAATCTTTATTTATATTTATGCCATTTCCGCTCAGCTAATATCAGTTTTTCATGATCTAATCTAACATCTTTTATTATATAATGTTAATTATGTGATACAATATTAATCTGATATGTAAACATATTTAAAAATAATATCGATAAAAGGAACAATAGGAAATTTATAAACCATTAAATACAGAATTAAATTATTCGTATTTAAGATAATATTGAAAAGTTTAACTTAAACCATGAACAAAAGTAAGTAAATTTACTGTTTGTGATAAACAACTATAGAAAAAATACATAAACATAGTATTTTAGTAAACAATAATTTTATAGGTACGTGATTGAAATTAGTTACAAAACCTCACTGCTTGGTATAAAAACATACCAAATTAACATTCAAAACAATTTCAGTTTGATCTTTCAACAAGAACAGACCTAAGTTTACTTCCAACAATGGATAAATCGTTAGCTTTCGTTGCCTTATTCGTAATTTCCGGTAATTTTAAAATAACTTAACAATAATCAGTTTCTCAAATAATTTTTCTCAACAATTTTTAGCGGCCGTTGTTATTGCTCAAACATGTGGTCCAAATCAAGTATATAATAGTTGCGGATCTGCTTGCCCAGCTTACTGTAATCAAGAACCTGGCCCTTGTACTCTGAATTGCGTCGCCGGTTGTTTCTGTGATGAGGCTAATAACTTTACCAAAAGAGCAATAGATGCGGAGAATGACGATTGTATCCAACAATCTGCATGTCCTACTTGTCCTGGTGCCAACGAAATATATAAAGTGTGTGGAACTCGCTGTCAAGATTATTGTGGCAAACCAGAAGGTATGGTGTGTCCAGCAATTTGTCAAGAAGGTTGTTTTTGTAAAGACGGCTTCATACGTGCAAACGACAATGTCACGGTTGGATGTATCCCGGTGGAAGAGTGCCCTTAATTCTCTTAGTATCTTGTATTTTTTTGGCAAATTAAAGAAATAATTAAGCACTTATCTTCTTTGTTTCATATTGATGTTTGACGATTATAAATTATTTTATATACAAAAATTGGCACAAATTTATATACAAATTTGTACCTATTATAAATAGGTACAAATAGTTAAGTGGATTTTCATTCTCTTCCTGTGTCCTTTGATTAAGTTACTTATTAAGTACAATGATTAAGTTTGTTCGTCTCTAATGTCTCCATCGCGTTCAATCACGTTCTTAGTCTCTGCGGAGGTGCTATTATTATTGGCAATAATGGAGATTCGTGTTTTTCATTCTTTATGTAATGTTTGGTCTTCATCCAGACATCCTATAAGTTCCAACAAAGTAGATTGAAATCTCTCCACATTCGCCTAAAATTCTGGATTTCTTACTGTTCCGGAATGTAGTCTGTTTACATAATATGAAAAGTTATCGAAAAGTTATAGTTAATCATTAATTAGAAATATATTGTACAGGGTGATTAAAACTCAATGCCTCAGGTTTGTTGTAGATAATATGTTGTAGTAAGTCTCGAAAGGCTTATCCTAAACAGGATTGGCTGTAACGTCTCTGAAATTATACCCATCGAACAAAGTTGTTCAGAACAGGTGTTTTATCTTACCACAGACATCAAAGCAGGCTTTTAAAGACGCCTCAAAATATAAGTGGCCTTTGTGGAATTGATAACAGCGTGATACAGTGTGGAAAAAGGGGCTACTATATAAACTCATACGATTCGTGCCATTATAAAACTTATCGGCAACATGCTGTCCAACAGATACTTCTGCGGAACGCTGGGAAACAAAATCAGTAAAGGGAGAAAACTGAATAACGGACAACCGGAGGGCTCCGTTCACATCGAATCAGCCATCTATCAACAACAACAAGAAAATTTATCTATGCTGATGATGAAGTGAAGACGTCCTCTCTAATTACCTGAGAACTATGAGGAAATACTTACAAAAGTGACAGAACACACTCGTTTAAAAAACATACATGTGGTGCCGCAGCAACTACTCTACTATCACGATATTCCGCCCTGTCACTGGTTTATTCTGATGCAGAATACTGATCACCGGTATGGATAAACAAAGAATGATGTCATCTTTAACTATTATACAAATAAAATTTCCTTGCAAATGTTTAAGATTCAAAACACCACGAATCTTTACAAATCAGTCAAGAAAATAACTATGAGTAAATAAATATAAACTTAGCAAAAAGTTTTTTTCATCGAAAACCTGTACATAAAGTGAAAGATTTACAAACATTCTATAATAGAGTTCACATAGGTAATATTTATAATCTGATATTTCCAAGATATAAACAGAATTTCATTTATCTGAAACTACCTTTTCAACCTCAACTGCAAAACGAATTTAAGAAAAATCTAATTAAACATAATATCAATACTGCTTTTAATAATAATAATAAAATCAGTAAATTACTTATAAATCATAAACATAAATTTCAACAGAACGAAAGGAGTGGTATTTATAAGCTAAAATGTAGCACTGTGAGCACTTTTACATAGATCTAAGATCTAAGATATAAAGAGCATATCACTAAGAAGACTTTGGCTTTCTATAAACTTCTTAGTGAAAAGGGCCACAAACCCAGTGAGCTTGACATCAGCATCGTCAAAAACCTTAAAAAATCAAAGCTGTTCGATTTTTATGAAGAATATGAATTATATTGCTCTATATAAGAGAAATTTTGTTTTCATGGATGCTTTTTATCCTAAAAATATTTGTATCTGTCAAGTTTAGCATTAAGATATTCGAGAACAACAATGGCGTCATGTTTTAGAATTCTCTCACATACGGTTTATAGTTCATCATAGAAAGTGTTTGGTTATTTTGAATCCAACTGCGTGTTCTCCTTGTCTTTCTTCGTTTTCTCTTTTATTTATGATCCCCTTATCTTTCCATTTTATCTCCTAAATTGCTAGAACGTCAACGGCGTATCTCTTAGACTCTTCAGCTACGTTGATGATTGAGTTCGCTCGCAGCATGGTTTGGACATTCCAGGTTCCAAATCGCAAGTACAATCTCGCACCCTTATTTTGTTGCTAGATAGGTTCATTCCATTTTGATTCTATGAACTAGTCATAACAGTACTCTTTTTATGGGGTAAGGTCGTTGGCCCTACGCTCAACCTCCAACCTGGAGGGCTTTCAGTTTCCTTGAGACTTTCACTTCCTATTTTGAACAATTCTGAGAGAAATTATCAACGCCTGGTTGCTTTCTCATTTCTTTAATGCAGTTTCAATATCACTAATTATTTGATTCTTCGTGTCTTTGCGTAGTGGCTTGACTCCCGCTCTCTCTTTTTGTATTTTTAGGCATTATTATTCTTAAATTTTGTCCTCATTGTTAATAATTTGTTATCTTCATCTTTCTCCTACAGATCTCGTCCGCTTGTTTGTATGCTAGTGTTCTTGTATGTATGTACAAGAATATCTAATAATAGCCTGAATACATGTGTTTCATAGTTTGAATAATAAATTTATGTTTCAAATATACACCATCGCATGAAGCAGAACATGTCATCGATTGTATATGGTATAGGAGTTTGTCCATGTCACATAAAAAAGTTATTATCCTGAAAGTGGTTTAGTGCTGGTAAAAAATGCAACAGTAAAGCTGTTGAGTAAGCTTCTTTTTTTTTAAACTAATAAAAATGATCGAATAGAAAAGAAGAAACTGGCGGATATCTCAAAATATTAAGATTCTCGTAATCGCTATTTAAAATATCCTACTTTAAAATAAATTTAACAGTATTCTTTACAAACTCTTTTGAAAGACTCTCCTCGATCGTTCCACGTTTCTTCGTCTTTTTAGCGTTTGGTGACAATGATCCAAGAGAAAGAGAGAGAGATTCTAGCGGAAAACTCAATGACCTCGTTTAACCGAGTGTTCGCGAACCGGTCTGGCAGCACAGGACCTACATACAAACGGTGAAATGGGACCAAAGGGTTTGCCGTCATACGAGTTTCGCCTCTTATTAATGTTCGTTGTGCCACTTTTCCCCCAGCTCTTCTTGACGACGACTCTCTTCGACCATCTCTACGGTTTTTTCCTTACTTGTCTTTCAAAACCTCACCTTTACCGTCAATAATGATCATCTTTAAGCCCGCATCAAACCACACAAACCACAGCATCTATCTACACCATCGTTGTTATTTAATATAAAAGAATTTATATGCTTTTTTTAGTTATTTTTTGGCATATGGATCAAGTTGTATTTTTGTAATGTTCTTTTTATGTATGAAATTTCATGTTACTTTTTATTGTAAGGATTAGAAGAAACTAAAATTTTAGATAACGCACGAAGTTGAGATTTGTGTCATTGTACCGTAATATAACACCTCTCATTTTGCTGAACCATAATAACGTTTATATTTTGTATTTGATTTATTATCAAATACAAAATATATTATATATTTAATATAATTGAATAATTATTATGGTAAGGATGAAAGTTATAAAGATATTATTAACGTAGTTCCACGGAAACTGCAACTTTAAAATTAAAAAATCTAAGTATCTCATTACACATTGCATGTCTACAAACTATTAATTTTAAACTCATTAGTGATTAAATTTAATTGTAGTCATGCGCTTCATCAGGGGTTACACCACATCCTTAAAACCCTGTAATAAATAAAAATTGTTAAGGACGACCTCATCCTTAATTATATATAAATTATACCGCAACGGAAATGATTTTTTTTCAATTTTATTTAGACTAAATATTTATAATTAATAATGAATGAACAATGCAGACGTAATCGAATAGTTTTCGGTTTTATCAAAGTGGAATCGTACCAAGTCGTTCCAACTCCACATACATACTTTATCGCTTAACGTTCTTGTAATAAGGGTGAAATTAGTGTGGCACAACGCCAAATATGGTAACAACTAGGGCTTATCTCGAAAAGGTTTTGGCATGAATCAAGTGGTTAGCAATTGGCCAAAAGTTTTCAACATGCGCCTACGTGAGCAATACCGGATGATTAGCGAGTATAAAAGAATTGCAATAAGCAGGTTTGAGTTATAGTTCGTTAATTGGTGTTATTGCGCACACTGCGAGGACTTCGTATACCTACTACTTATTTGAAAAAACAAATAGTTTAAACGCAGTTTCGATTTTAACTTCAACAAGGTAAGCTCGAATTTATTTAAAATTATTTTATAATTATTATTTTCCTAATTTTTCTTTCTTTTATCCATTTATAGATGAAATATCTTTTGGTGTTCTTATTCATTGGAGTTAGCTATGCAACTCCAGCAAGCAACCTTACTAATTCAACCACCATAACTGAAGATTTGAATGATATTATGGAAGTCATTCCGATAGAAAAAATTAAAAGGATCGCCCTGGAACATCTCCACAACGATTTAGAATTTCAAGCCGCGGTACAATATATGAAAGGGCCGGAATGGAGTGCGTTAATGAAAGAACTTAATGATCAACCCCAATTCCAAAAGTTATACACATTTTTGAAAGATACTGGTTTAAATTTGGAGAAAGTTGAAAACCTTTTATGTGGTTTCATGAAAGACGTCAATGTTTCTACAAATCATACGGTTAAAAGTTTCAAAAAATTTGTTGAAGATGTGAGAAAAGTGATTCCATTGGCTAGTGTGATTGAAGTGGTTGATAATAAACTTCGTACCAGTCAAGCTTTTAATGACTTCTACGGCAAAATTTCTGGAACAGAATGTTTCGAATTAATTCAAGAAGTAAGAAAACTTCCTATTTACAAACAAGTTGTTGATGGACTGAAAAGTATGGATATTGATATAGAAGCTATGTTGAGATTGGTCAGCGCTATTTTTAACTGGGAAATGACACCACTAGAAAAACTCGCTTCAGGAGATGCAGCGGCATAAATTCATTTTAACCTTTTAAAATTTTGTATTATTCAATGTTTTTAATATCACAATGAAATACAATAAATGAATAATAATTTTTAATATTGAGTTTTATATTTTAAAAGAATATCTGTTATTTACAAAAGTGTTTTGAACGTTATAAATTGTAAGGCAAATACAACACTAGTAATTTCGGTAAGCAATTCAATCATTTCTTCTACATTTAAATCCATCGATAAAAATTCAATTATCAAAGCAATTGTTCACATATTACTTCTTTGCAAAATTGTCCCATCTTATCTTCTTCTTCTTTCTATTGCCCTCATTCCAGGAACCTTATGGTGTTGACTTTTGGATCCATCTTTTATACATCTTTCTATCTCTGGCCATAATCCGTACTTCGGCGAGTCTCTTCCCTGTTCTTTTAACAATCTTCTCAATCTCTTACTCCCATTGGGCCCTTGGTCTACACGCTTTCTCTTTCCTTCTGGCCTCATATTGAACATTTTCCTAGGTATTCTATCTTTATTCATTCTAACCAAATGACCATACCAACTTCTTTCCTTCTATTTCTTGTATCAGGGATACCATTGGGTTTTCCGCAATATCTTCCATAGGTACTTCATCACTTTTCACATTTTCATTCACATTTTCGATTTGTGTATGTCCAACATCGTCCAAGTTTCTGATACATAATTAAGTGTGGGTATATAGATGGTCTCATATAATTGTATTTTTGCTTTAGTGTTCAGTTCCTTCTTGTCTACGAGGGTGTTGTTTATTTCAAAGTAGACCGCACTTGCTTCTACTGTTCTGTTGCGTATTTCCGGATCTATGTTTCCATCCTTACTTATTATGGTTCCAAGATCATTAATGTTCACAAATACCGCTTTCTGAAAATACTGTGAAATGTCGCATCGATGATATGGCCGCAAACATGAAAATTCAGGTAGTGAAGACCGTGAAAGAATCAAAGCTTTTCGCAATGCAGTTGGACAAGACTACAGATGTTGCACATTGTTGTCAATTGCTAGTTTTCGTTTGATATACATAACAAAACAATCAAAGACGAAATGCTGTTTTCTGCTGAGTAAACGACAACTTCACAAGCAGTTGATATAATGTTCGCTTCAACCACACTTTTGACTGCTAATTGACGGTCACCAGCCTGTGCAGTTGAAAAGACAGCTACATATATCTGAATTCTTTGACAAACCTGAACTGTCATGGCAAAATTTGTTCAAAGAAAAAAATCCTATTGAAACCGTTATTCATTGTTTCATACAATACACCGTCAAGCTTTGGCGGCTAAACACTTTCAAACGACTTCAACGATGTTTTAAGAATATGCATTAAAATTGCAATTTTTACAGTCTTTTGTGAACATTTGGGCACAGAACATAAAAAATTATTGTTCCATTCGGAAGTGCGCTGGCTCTTAAAAGAAAATATGTTAGCAAGATTATATAAGCTTCAAGATGTAGTTCAAGTACTTTTGTTTTTAGAAATCCAAAAACAAACTGAACTGTATGTTCAATTCAGAAAGTCAACTGTTCTACCAGTAGTGGCTTATCTATCGGATATTTTCGATTTCTTGAATTCACTAAACTTGAAATTGCAAGGTGGAGACAACTAAGTAGTGATGGAATAGATAGTGATTTTTCGAAAAGCCAGATACCCGATATTCGGTATCCCCTTCGGCCGGATATCCAATTATCCGGCATATCTATCCGGCCATTATGGTTATAATTTCTTGTGCATTTTTGAAGTGATACTCTATATTGTCACATTATTGCGATATTTGAATAAAAATGAAATTCATAAGAAAGCTGATAAGATATGTCAACTTATTTGGATCCAAGATACAAAATGAACTTTTTTGATACTGATTTAACTAACGAAGCAACTCTAAAAAGAGGATACTTTAATTAATAATTGGAGATATTTCCATAAGGATCCTTCAAGAAATTAATTTTATAGCGAATTTTCAAAATTATCGATGAAAATTGCAACATCGAAAATTTTATCAAAACTTCAAATATTGTATTCTCAAAAACTAAAAGTTATTTTTCAAAACGGGTTGGTTCATTGGAAAGAGGACACATTTATTAACACTTTGGAAAATTTTCATACTCATATTCCAAGAACTGGATTTTATACGAATTTTTAAAACTTAATCAGCGAATATTGAAAAAGTTATATTATCTATTACAAAATTACGGCAAGTAGGAACGCGTGATGAAATAAATTTTAAGAACCGCTGCAATAAATGACTAATAATTTTTAATATTGCGTTTTATATTTTATAAGAATATCTGTTATTAACAAAAGTGTTTTCAGTGTTATAAATTTCAAGGTAAATACAAGCTACACTAGCAATTTCGGTAAGCAATTCAATAATTTCTTCAACATTTAAATCCATCGATAAAAATTCAATCATCAATCTTTTTCCATAATGGTGCTCTTGTACCATATTTAATAATTTTTTCACGTATATACCATTTACTTCTTTGCAAAATTGTCCCATCTTCTTATCACCAGCAACTTTAATAGCTACAGTATCAACGAGAATCGATTTGGGTATATTTCCAAATATATTTTCTATGAACGGTTTAAGCGTTGGCAAAACGTTATGATCGGGTTCGGCGTAAATTTCTAATGAATACTTGTCTTCCAAAGCTTGAATGCTGCTTAATATACCATCTACATCAACTCCTAATTCAGTAAAATACGTTTTTAATACAATAAATTCTGGTATTCTCTTCAATCCCACAGTCCATTTCATGTGTTGAAGACGATCTATTGCAGCGACGAATCCTGGGCTACTTTTTAACGTAATTTCAAAAATTTTATGAAGAAATTTTTCCGCACCTTCAAGATCAAACGAAACTACAGTTTTATAAAATAACAAAATAACAAAAATCTGAAACTGTTTAAAGAATTATTTTCAAATTATCTTTCATAACAATTTTAGCTTACCAACATCATCGTTTTTAGTCAGAAATCTTTAAATTTATAGACCAATTAAAAAAATAATTGCTCATTAAATTGTTTATTAATCATTGTGATATCAGAGTGAAATGAAGGTGAGTACTAAAAGGACTTAACTTAGAGAGTTAAATATTTCTTTTTGTAGATACTTGGTTACTTTTCTCTATTTATATTAATTCATAACGTCACTACAAATTCAGATGATGATTTTGTTAAAAAAGCTATTGATAGAATATACGATACAGCTATATACGCCATACACAGTGACAAATACGTTTTAGGAGCATTACAATTTTTATTATCGAAGAAAATGAAATTGCTATACAAACTCTTAACGAATACTGTTGAATTTAAAATGTTGGATGATTATCTAACCAGTATAGGAATACCTTTTGAAAGGAGATTTATCGATGTTGGATCAAAACTCGGGCATTTACCAGATAACGACCCAATACCCAGAGCTTCTTTAAGGCCATTTTTTGCGGCATTACAAAGAGAAATTTCATATGAAAAGTTGCAACAATTACCGGAAAGTATGTTTAAAACAGAGAAAAATTCTCGAATATGTCGTAACATTCAAGTAAAAAATGTAATAACGTTAGTAAGTTGGGTGCAATCACTTCAGATTTATTGGGCTTTGATACACGAAATGAAGAAGATACATTTAGATCTTCATAAAATTATTCAAACAATAGTAGCTGCTGCTGAAAAAGAATGTCGAATTAAATATTGATTGTATTATAATAAAATAATTATTCGTATTTTTGTGTTTATATGTTAATATGTTTTTTTCTATTTTATATGAAAAATTTATATGTCATCGTCTTGAACACGATGATAATAAAGGACGATGGTTTCGTATCAACTATCAGCCGCGGCTTTAATGTATACTGGTCAGACATTATTCCAAGAAATCAGCACCGGTTGTAAAACTAACAGAGCTGGAAATCAGCGGAACAAGGAAAAGGGAGCTTATTTGCAAGGTGACTCAGCTAAAAATGCAGTTGGAAATATGCGTTAAATGTACGAAAATCTGATCCAAAAAGTACTGTCTAAAAACAACGAAGATAAAGTAACGGTTGAATACAATACGGATGAAGCGTACTAGACCAGGTTGATTCGTATAAAAAATTGAAGATAAGGAAAATAAGTATCCATTTTCCTTACTCTTTTCACATCATCACAACTATAAGCCAATAGACGTAACATAAAGAAGCCTAGATAGGATAAGCTATAGGAGGCTTACTGCAGCACTAAACTCAAAACGATATTAATGGCATTCCAACGAGAATAAGCACAATGAACCAATTAAAGTTATGGTCAACAAACTGCATTACTTCATGGAAACAGAAGCAACAGTCTAGGAAATGAAAGAACGTGGCTACAAAATTATCGAAGCTAATAAATTAAAATGTAAAGCAACCCCTAAACATGTTTATGCGTTTATTTATATATGATTGTCTTGATAAGATTTATTAAGAAAGTCCAAGCTAGTACCACAGTGTAAAGAATGCTAAGCGTACGGACGTACACAAAAATATTGTACTATGGGACCAAGCCGTATCACCTGTCTTGGTAAATATCTAATAGTGTAGTGCAAGAAGCCAAAGTGTGATAAATCAAAATGTCTTCACTGCGGAGAAGGTCGTCCAGCCAATTACAGAGAATAGTCGTAAAAGAAATGCAAGAAATTAAAGGATTTCTTAAACGGTACCAAGAACCAGTACTTCCTAAGCAACCACAGAGGAATAGTAAACAACCAGTAGTACAGTAACGTACCAGTAGTCAATAGAAGAGTGGAGGCATCGTAATTAAGAGATCAATTGAGCATCCTCCAGAAATAGGATATTAAACAGAACAATCTCAAGCTGTCTGAAAACCAAAACATTTTTTTTTATTCTATATTATGCATAGCACAATTGTATAACACCTAGTAAATACATACTAATTAGTTACTTATTTTTGACTCCAAATTAAACTAGATAATGTTTTGCAGCTTTTCCCAGTGGTCCAGTCTGCTTTACCCATAATATAGATAAATATTGTCATATTTTTTCGTTTTAAGACCAGAGAATAATCAGTACTGGCATCATTAGTAAGGTCTTTTAAGTAATTTTGAATATTATTATCTTTGTGGCTATCTGTTAATGCTCTTAATTCGGCTGATATTTTATTTAATTTAGTTTTATCACTAGGAACTCTATTGGTTTGCCATTTCTTTCTTATTTCTGTTTTTCTGCAATATATGAAATTATTGTCTCCACAGTTTATTATCCGCTTAGACTTGCTCTAAAAAACAACCTTACTTTCCCTTCCTAAATAAACACGGATATACATTCATTAAATGTAGTGACTTCTATGCTAAATATATCCAATGAGGATCAAGGTTAACTACTACAAAAGAAAAAGAGTGTTTCTTCAAGAAAAAGAAGCTTTTTTGTATGATAAGTTTAAGCAGTCTCTTGATTGAATTCGTATATTACTCTACCTCGTAGTTATCAAGTTGCCGTGAATCCTCATCCATCGTTCTGGGAATGTAACTCAGATTGGTTCCAAAGGCCCGTTATGCCCAAAAATTAGGTATGTCTAAATTAATGCTATATATAAAAACAACGAAGATTTTCTGCTCTAGCGTTAGTACCCCCGTGAGTATCCAATCTCCGTTAAAATTGAAGCTTTAGATAAGGTTTCGGAGCCGTGAAACTTTTAATGGCCTTTTAAAGCTTATATTTAGCCATAACACTTGTATTTACTCATAAATGTTATTAAAAGCGCTATTGATCCATAATTAAGATGAAGTAACCAATTTACGACGATATAAATTAGAGACGGTAGACTTTTTGGATGCAGTATCAGCTGCTCGAAATAATATTTCTTATTTATATAATAAACCTTTAAATTAATTAGTTAATTTTTGGCGCCTACCGCAGCCTTACTGCACAATTAGCAAATTCGAAAAATTTGCCAAAGTAATTAAATTTAAGAAACGATTTCTTATGGAAAATGTACCACAATAAGTTTTTGTGCAATTCTAAAGTTTACTTTAGAACACTAAACGTAAAAATTGCCCTTCAGTTCAAAGAAACAAATAATGCAATAAATTCAATGTGTATATTTAACTATCTAACTATTTATTTAATTATCCTACCTAATTACACTTATTCAAACGATTTTTATAAATAACGCGTTACCAAAATTAGTTACAACTCATATTGTTTCTTTCTCGCTTTTACAATTAAAATTAGCAAGGAAATATTTTCTTACAAAAATTAATGTAATGAATATAGGGCATATATACATTTATGCGAATAATCTACTCTTCTGCTAGCAGATTCTTATCTTCTATAAGGAAGAACTAGTCGTCCATTAACACTATCTTGACTTTTGCCAGTAGTACGTATCAGGTGAAATCTGGTCTGCAAGGAAAGCAACGTCATTTCTGGACATGTGTTATGGGCATTTATCATATTTTTGGAAGAGCGTGTTTCCTTAAACATGTTTTAATTTCATTTTCAGAAGAATAAGCTCAAGAAGTTTATCAAAATTTTGGCAAATAATCCTATACGTATAAAGTAACAAAAGGGCCACAATTGTTATACCCAAGCTTACTTAATGTATTTGGTACTCTAAAACCCTGAAAAAATATTTTTTGCGTAAGTCTTGGAATGTACAAATTCGGGCTGGTAAAGGCCAGTAATGTTGTGAAATTCGATCTTATTTTCTGTTTCACTTTTATTTTACTTTCGCTTTTACTGTTCAATACTATTAAATCCTAGAATTTATAAACTGACGTAAGTAAAAGGTTTCAGGATTATCCACCACCTCAATATTTTGGAAATATGACGTCTGTTATTAATGAAGTGTGTGATGTGAGGTCATATGACATGAGAAAGTTTTTATCAATTAATGGACAAACTTATTGCTAAAAAACCGAGTAATAATTAAAACCAACAAGCATATTGCTCGAGTTCCTTCAGGCCTAAAAGATATTATTACGTGTGTTACGAGGAATTGTCTATCGTCTATACCTGAAGCTCATCTTGCAATTGGTCACAGCTGAACCAAAATACTGAAAAATTTTAACCACAAATACAAAACTGCAACTGTAGAACCTAGCTTGCCAAAAAATTAACCTGTTTTAAAACCAATTTTACTTAGTGAAATAAACTCCAGATGTCTAATTGACTTAATAGATACGATAGAATTTATAATGGGACATCAAAACCATCTAACCTAATATGTACCTCTATATTCTCTTTCTACCAAACGAGTTGAAGACAGCTAGTTCACTACTTAACATATTCACTCTATTTGGAGCACCTAGTATACTACATTCTCATAACGGAAGGGAATTTGTAAATTCTGTTATAGTAAAACTTTGTTCTATGTGAAGTGATATCAAAATTGTCCATGGAAAACCTAGCCAGAACCAGTTGCATGAGTCAGTGAAAGGTACTAATCAAGATATTCAAAACATGATTAGCACTTTGACGGAAAGCAATAAGACTAGTCCAAATCGCTGAGATTTATACAAGCAAATAAAAACCCAACTTACCATGATGGCATTAAGTGTTCATCAAGGTGGTATTTGGATGTTGAATAGAAATAGAAAAATCACCAACCAATATACTACATCAAAATAATAAAATCACATCTCTAGTTGAAGTCCCACAATGTTAACAGTGTTAATAGCCAATAATGTTAGATTTTCTGTTCATTCTCAGCTTTACCAAGAACCATTAACTTCTACGTTTACGTCAGCCTTCAATGACAACACCTTTAATTTTGGTATTTTTTAAATCTATTCAAATACTCTTTGAACTTGAGTAACGTTAAAACAATATTTCGATATTTTCTTAAATAAATAAGTAAGTAATTCGCTATTTTCAGTATAATGGAAATATTTGAACAAATTTTAATCTAATGTAACTCCTTTCTATATTCCTTATGTTAGACCAAATCTGAAATACCCTGTATATGTGAATACTTAAACTTGGCGCCAACTAGTTCAGGAACGAGTTAATGTAAATTTCGACAAGTTGGCACGAACGCATCTATTCTTAGCATGATCGGGGCCGGGTCCATAGTGCGCATTCAAACTATTGTGGCGGTGTGATATGGGAAACACCTCAACAAAATCTCATCTCAAGCAAAGAAACAAAAAGGTACACTGGAAGGCAACTGGTAAGATCCACTATCTTACAAAAAATACCTATTAATATCCGGTAAGAGTAACAATTTGATGCGAGCGGACGCGCGTTTTATTTATAAACCTCCAGTCGTGAAACGTGAATGGGTTTATTTTAAAATCTGAAGCAATTCTCCCAGACAATTCGTATGTTGTTTTTTTTTATTCTTTACGTTCTTGCAGATCGTCCAGGAAGACCCGGCAAACCCGAATTGGTGTCAGACGCTGACACTTCTCCAGATGTTTTAACAATTAGATGGGATCGACCACTAAAAGATGGAGGATCAGCAATTATTGGATACCTGGTGGAACACCGAAGATTCGGTTCCCCACATTGGGTTCGTGCCACTCCTATGTTGGTTCCCTTTTCTGAATTAACACTAAGCGGTCTTGAGCCGGGATGGCGATATCAATTTCGCGTGTGCGCCGAAAATGCGGTTGGTCTTTCAGATCCAAGTGAATTATCAGATCCATTGATAGTAACGTTACAAAGATCGACAATAACCACTCCAAGATTCACGCAAGAATTAAAAGATACTATAGCTTTGGAAAATGATAAGATCGAGTTTGTTGTTCATTTTTTGGGTCAACCTCCTCCGAAAGTATCATGGTTTAAAGATGGATTTGAAATTTTTAGTAGCCGAAGAATAAGAATTTTAACAGAATCTGATAGGAGTGTTTTGACTATTCATCAATGTCAATTGGTTGATGCTGGAGAAATCAAATGCACCGCTACAAATAAATCTGGACATGCATCGACTAGAGCAATCCTTACTTTGGAAGCACCACCCAGTATTCGACTTCCCAGACAATACGAAGAAGGATTATTATTCGAAATAGGTGAAGTTATGCGTTTAAAGGTGTCCGTGGTAGGGCTTCCAACGCCTCTAGTGTTCTGGAGCCACAATGGCGAATCCATCCAAAATTCCGAACGATACGAAATCGAAAATTACGACAATATTTCCACCTTGAGAATTAACGAAGCCACACGATCTGATCGTGGAGAATACCAAATTAAAGCTGTAAATAAATTAGGTCAAGATACAACCTCATTTTTGGTAACGGTAACAGACAAACCATCAGCACCATCAAAAGCTAGAGTTGTTATGACGTTAGGAAAATCTGTAACTCTCTCTTGGAATACGCCTGAAGATGATGGAGGTTGCAAAATAGGTAGCTATATCATTGAGTATTATAGAATTGGTTGGGATGTGTGGTTAAAAGCTGCCACCAGTAGACAATTATCAACAGTTCTGGGAGATCTTATAGAAGGCAGTGAATATAAATTCAGAATTAAAGCTGAAAGTCCATATGGTATTAGCGAGCCCAGCGATGAAACCGAAACGATATTTATTCCCGATGTAAAAAGGGGAATAATTGAACCAAGAAGTTTAAGTCAACCTAGAGAAATAATGGTGGAACATGAAACTCCTACTCTTCCACAACGAAAACATAAACAAAGATCTCAATCATCAACTCGAGCTGAAATGCACGTTAAATTTCAAACACCAGAAGGAACACCTCTTCGTCCTGAAAGAACTAAGGTGAAAACACCTCAAAGAACTCCAGAACCATCACCTCGACCGCATAGAAGAGAAATGAATCAAGAAATCATTAACAGAGCTATATTTGATAGAGCTTCTATGACTAGGGATTTGGCTTATGGTACACCTGATTTTAAAATAAAAAAGACAGACGTTGAGAAATTGCCCAAGAATGTTATTAAAGAAGATAAATCTCTATCAACGCGTCCTCAATCACCACCTGTTCGAGGTAAGTCAAGGAGTAAATCAAGAAGTAAATCACCCAGTCCAGCTCCAAATATTGAACAACATAAACCACAAGTTGCTGCTAAAACACAAAACTTCCCAGTACCTAAAAAAGAAAGATCACCAAGTCCATATTTAGATAAATCAAGATCGTCTAGTCCTGGAGTAATGATTGAGAGAAGAAGGTCTCCAAGCCCAAGTAAATATCTTCGTACTCGATCACCAAGTCCAAATGTTGAAAGGAAAACATCGAAAGATTTCACAGGAAGTTCCGAATTTATGCTTGTGCTGCTTCCACACGAAAATAAACGTAAAGTTGATCAATTTATATTTACTTTATAACTATTTATTATTAATTTTCAGATGAAGATCATGAAGATCATGATTATCATTTCGAAGACAACATAATTCCACCTCCTTTGTCTTTATCAGCACCAGAATTGGGTTCAGAACCACCATTTGTTCTAGAAGGATTAAAGTATTCGGCTAGTTCATCAGAACTTCTTCACGAGCGATCAATGATGAGATTTTATGAAGCCGCAATGTTAGAAGAACAGGAAAAAACGAAAAAAGATCAAAAACGACCTAGTCTTATACCAAAGATTCAAATTAATGATAATGAAATATCACTAGAAAGAAAGCTGTCACAAAGAAGAAGATTTTCGGCGGGATCAGTTCCTCAACATTTATTATGGACGCAGAAACGACATAGCCTAAGAAATTCTGGTGATATCAACGAAGTTTGGGAAGGTAAGCTGCGAAAGTTTCCCTTAACTACAGAAGAAAAGCGAGATATAATGATGAATAAAAAAAGGTCTGAATCTGAAGAAAAGGAAGAAGAAATGTTAGAAAAAATTAGAGCTCAAAATAATCAAAGACCGAAGTTAGAGAAAAAAAGGAATATTGACATAATTGATATGAGAAAATGGGATGAGGATTTATCCGAAGAATCTTCTGACGAAAGAATTTACGATCAAGTACCTGATATAGATAGAGACATTGAAGAAGAAGATATAACATACAATCCTTTCATGCGACGTGTTAATCCAAAAGAACACGAACCATTTGAAATTTTAACGAAACCGAATAAATTACCCGATCCTAACTTTAAACCAAAACCGATTTTAAAGAAAAATGGCGATTTAGACGAAAATGGAACATCAACTGCAACTTCGAGAAGTGTCTCAATGTCCCCAGAAACCATATCAGTGGATTTAGAAAAGAGAAAGAGTTTACCTAAAATAAGTCCAACCCGAGATTTAGAAGTGAAACCACAACAAAGAAGATCGAGTTCTCCAGCGGTTGCACCGATTCCTTTCCAAACAGTTTCTGCAATCGCATCAATTAGTGGTTACACAGCTGCTGGAATTGTTATACCTGAACCATTATTATCCAAGCAAAAATATGAAGAAGAATCTAAAGTTGTTATAGATCATTACGCCGACATCGTAAAAGCATACAGCAAAAAAGACAAACCAATTCAAAAATACGAACGATTTATTGATACAGAAAAAGAGGAAAAAATCGTTGAGAGCAAATCAAGTATTACAGATTCAAGTAGTGAAAATATAAGAAATGTTAAACTTAATGGAAGATCAAGAAATGATTCATCATCTTCTAGTCAAGGATCTTTACAATCGAGGTCTAGGATGCGAAGAGGTAGTCCTGTTGTGTTAAATAAAGAAATATTGACGTTTAGGTCTACTAAAATTAAAGAACAAGAGGAACAACAAAAACAACAAGAACTACAAGAACGTCAACAACGTCAAAAACATTCGCAAGCTCGGAATGTTAGGACACCATCAAAATCTCCTGGGCGCAGAAAAACAACTCCTTCACCAATGAGAAAACTATCAATTTCTTCAGTTGAAACAGTTTCGCTATCAACTCAAACTAGCGTAGAAAAACCCCCATCTCCAGTTTTAAGAATTCGAGCGCCAAAGATGAAAGAAATAATGACTCAAACCTCCACGTGTATAGACAACCTTATAAACGAAGCTACCAAGTTGTTGCCGCAAAAACTAACAGACGAAGAACTAAAGATTTCTACAGAGAGGAGAGTAAGGTCGACGATCGACTACATCACAGATGTCACAATGTTTATTGTTGCTTGTTGGTTGTACATGTTTAATAATGAACTCCTCGCCATACCGGTTCTTTTGGTTATGGTGTACAGGCAGTTGCAGAGCGAAGTTAAGAAACGAATTCCGAAATGGTTGGAAAAAAAATTAAGCAAATGATATTTTGTTTTAAAAAATATCCAATTTAGGGGAAAGTTAAAAAAAAAATGTATAGAATATTTATTTTTCTTGTATCCTTTCTTCTTTAATAAAAATTGTCTCTGTTTTTAATATAATTTATTTAAAATGATAAGATTTTTAAGTAGGTAAGTATATTCGGTTGTATAACTTGGCGATATAAAGCTTAATTGAAAAGATTTTTTGAGTTTAATTTAAAAATGTTAATAACAAAATGAATAGTTAAGGAGTTGAGGTATAATAACTCATTTCCTTTAATACACCATAAATAAAAAAAATAATTATGTTGGTAAACCCACCTAATTAAAAGTAGGAATTAATTAAAAGTTAAGTAGGTGATTTAATTACAAATTGTATATTAGACATTTTATGTAAATTTATTAATAAGTAATTTATAAGTTAATCTGACGTAATTTTATATTCAATATTACTATACCCACGACGAAAACTGTAAATGCTTCTTATTAAAAAATTAGGTACATCAGTATTATAAAATAATCTAACATGTGAAAGAAGACGATACACAAACAACTTTTTAAAACTTATTATAAGGATTATCTTACATACACATTGTAGTAGTTGGAACGAACTTGTGCACGCTCTAATTATCAAACACCTTGCGGAAAGTAATTTTTTAGTTACCAAGAAAACCACGTATCGTTACTTAAATTTATATCTAGTTAAGCAATAAAATTGTACTTCTTAACAATATAACAATCCATTTACGATCGAACTACCATACTAACATTCAATTAGAGTCTAAAAAGATCTCCCTGATTAGCTTTATATGTCCACTTACAGTTAGGAAATGGTCTCTAAATCCAGAATGGGGTGATGAACGATCATGGTCCCATCCATCCAACGAGTAGCGTTACAAATGTGGAGAAGCCGGATTTCCTCTGGCAATGTAGACAAATAAATTGGACGGTCCCAGTGTGTCTTTAGCCGATGACAACGAGTCATACTACGTGTACGCCATACAGAGTGTGTTACGTTCAATTTTATGGGAGCCAACAACGAAGACTATACGGCCAATTTAAAAATCAGATACGCGCAAACTCTCTTTAAAATACACAAAGAGCTTTAAAATACAATGATAGAGGCGAATTAAATCGCGCGTGCATTGTGCGCACGGAACGTGTGACAATCTTAAGGGGGTTACCCTGTTACATAAGAAGCGCGCTCGTAAACGTTAACCTAGAAGTCGCAAATCGCTTTAATCGATAAGAGTCTTAATTGGACATCAGAACTTAGGGCTTTCATTCTAGTTTGTAATTATAAACTCTTTCTTTTTCCCATGACCGGGAACAAATATGGTCTTGATGTATTTACAATTTTGACATTTTCAGGTTACTCGGATTTGTAGTTTTAGTTCAGAATGTTATCAAGAACGAATAGTAAAATAAAGGTACGAGGAAGAACCTAATAATGTAGGAATGATGTTGTAGTGCAACGTTTCTGCTGCACAAACGATGTATTGAGCTTCGTTATCACTTCAACGAAGTATAGATTACCAAATTATCTCACCCATAATATTATAATCTGTTATTGTTAGAACTTATGTCAATGTCGAATTGTAAAAATGACAAGAAGAAACATTTTGGATAGAAGCGTTGTAAATTAATTTTGTTCAGTTTCAAAATATGCGCATCCTTGAAACAGATTAACTTTAAATTTTAATTACAATAAATAACAATCACTAACTAGATGGCGCAAAAGGTATTACAAAATATCCGAACCGTCTACTCCTCACACAATTCAACGTCTGGTGGCTAGACTTGAAGACACTGGGTCAACTCGAGATTGAAAACCACCTGGGCGGCCTCGAACAAGTCACTTAAGAATGTCGAAGCTGTGAGGGATGGTGTCGTGAAAACACACAACACTATTGGCCATTCTCGGTGGTCCCTTCAAAGAATTTTGACCATAGATTTGAAGATGTTATCGTAAAAAAATCAGATAATTCAACAGCTGATGCCAGCCGACCGCTAAACCAGTGTGGCATACAATCATAGCATATTAGTTGTTGCAGCGGAATAACAAATAACTTGATTTTTTTAAAGATATTTATGATGAGTAACGATGCGCATTTCCACCTATCTGGACGTGTACCTAACAAACAAAGTATCCGGTTTTGGGTAACCAACAATCCTCGTGTTCTCCATAACACGCCACTTCATCCACAAAAAGTGACCGTATGGTGCACTGTTTACTCAGAACATGTGATTGAGCCATATATTTTGAAGACAACAATGAAAGCGCGGTACCCAGATCATGTTGAACAAGTTCTTACTACCGAACCTGGAAGAGGTGAAGACGACTGGAACAAGTTGAAGAATTTGTGGTTCCAGCAAAACTGTGCCACCGTAGAAATATGAAAAAGTGAAATTTATTGCTTCAAATAAACGAGCAAACTTACAGCAAAAGAAAATAGAGTGATTCTTTTAGCACCACCTTGTATATGAACAACATGACAAGTATAAACATATACAAAAAATACATAGAAATACTTTGCTCCACATCCACTGAAATTATAAATGCTAGTGCTTCACTAACATTGTATTTTTGTCCATTTCTATGATTTTTAAAACTGACCATAGCAATTTTTTTTGCTTACTAAGTTTTCTTCACTGTTTATGCTATTAATTAAGTCCTGAACATGTTTTCAATGTTTTTATTGGTGCGCTAAGAAATGCATAATTTGATGAAATTAAAATGAAGTATGTTTTTATTGTATCATCAATGAATACATTTTTGGAATTTTGACTGACGTGGCATTCTCTTCGTCTAACGCAACAAATACATTCATCATTTTTCAAGTTAGTTGCATAGTAGTTTGCTGGCTCAATCCATGATCTTCGGCGAATAGTTATCGGTTGTGAAGTAAGTACGAGGCAAGGTGCTATTCGTTAAAAATTGTTACTCTTGATGAACCTTTCAAAAATACTTTCTTTATATTAGCAATAAGCCGATCGACATTAATGTAATTTTCTTCGAATGTTGTTACAAACTCAATAAAGTTCCGTGTGCAAAACAATTTGAGTATCACTTTTCCATAAAATATTTTTGCTGATTATTTTTGATATAAAGTGTGTTAATAGAATCATCGAAAAGCACGCCTTGCAACACCGTTTTATCAAGCAGTATTTAAATCATCGTGATCGAATATACCAATTTGCCAATCATTAATGCATTTGTATGGTATTATTGTTAAGTTCTTATTGTTTTCCAATGGTACTTCATACTCTTTCTACTTTGTCTATGTTTCTAAAAACGATCCTAATTTTTTGATCCTATACTATGTTGTTTTACCGAGAATATACTCTCAGCTAACACAGACTTATAACCACACAACAACAAATCAAAAAAAATTGAAGAAATTGCCACGCATTTATATTATCTTAAATGAAAACGAGATCTTAAATGAATATCTTCAAAAAATTAAGAAAATAAACGGTACTTTGGATATTAATACTAAAAATACGTACAAAATTTATTATTGCAGGATCATGAAATAGTTAGTAAACCTAAAGAAATTGAAGAAACTAGCATACAGTAGAAGAAGAATATATTAAAAAATAAAGAATTCAAATGAAACTTTGGATATTGATGGTGAATATTAAGAAGAAAAATCTCATGATTATGAAATGGTGACTAGACCCAAAGAAATTGAAGAAATCACAAGAAAATTAAATAAATGTCAAGAAGAAGAAGAAAATCTTATTAAATGTTATCAAAAAATTATGAACTTAAATCACACATAAAAGCACCTTACCTTTAGTCTTGAATACCGCATATTCACCATTGTATTCTCAAAGACATTTTAATTACTATTTACCCCTTTCTAAATACTTGAAATTTAAATATTAACTGCACACATACGCGAAGAACATAAGACTACTCAACGTCTAAATGTTTTATATACATGATCCAGGTTTATAACATCCTAAGTCTTCCGGTTCCCAGCTTCCAGCTTTCTCTATCCTCCCAGTTTCCTGGTAATCTTTGTTCTTTCTCGCTTCCTCCTTTCTGTTAGGATCCACTATAAAATGTATATAGCGTTTGAATTATAATATCAAATTTAGAGGTCTAATTGTTGCTTTTCCTTTGTCTATTCTGCTTTGTATTTATAATTTAATACCAGGTATTCTTTATCCTGTGTAATGGCGATTTCACCATCAGCAAAATGAAGTGTATAACTATATTTCTATTCTACGGACTGATCTTCTCCGTCTCGTCGGTGCTCATTTATCTAAAGCCTTTAGTCAATGGAAGGCTGCTGATACAACGAGAGTGAATATCTTGAGTAGAAAGAAATTATCATACGCGATACACATAAAAAGCCGCATGGTATAAAGGTGATTTTTACCTTCCCATGTCCAATAAGTAGAGTTGTGATCATAGAGTGTTTTTGCTGAATCCAACGAATTTTGCGCATCTATATTGAGCAAAAGCAAATCATCAACCTTGGAAGCAATATATCATGTACAGATATATATTATGGATATGCGCAGAAGAAATAGTATATTTTCTTGCTCAAATATGCCCAAATAGTGTAATATGTCACCGCAGAAATTAAATATTGTGGTCAGAGACAAGTCATTGGACGTAGTAACCCGAGTTGTACTGAAGTGTTAAACTAAAATGTGTTCCATTTTAAAGTATCAATCCATGAGAAGCACATAGGTTGCACCCATTAACGGTCAAAATCATATAAATGTTACCAGGTCTATTGAATGTAATAAATTTGAATTCAATTTGAATTCTGCTTTGATAGTAATGTTTCTTAACTGGTTCCAAATCGGTACATATTCGATAGTATCCCAAAAATCTTTCTACCAATTTCCAGTCAGTTCCAAGCATTTGTTTAGATGGCGGATGATCGTGGAATGGGTAGCATCGAAGAGTTAAGCCAAAACTTAGACAAAATTAGTTACAGAAGTGTTAGAAATGAAATGATGAATATAAACCCTAATATTATGTTCGTTATTAACACTTTAATTAACAAGTATTGTCGAGCACACTCGATCCACTCCG